TTTGCATTTCCCAATTCTGCCATGTTTTTTTTTTTTTTTTTCCCAAGATGACTCGCATACAGTGCTGGATCTTTGGCAAGCTCTTTGAGCAAGATTCACCGACATAATGCTGTATCGACGTCTTGCCCGTGGACATGTTTTCTCCCTAGTCTCTGCTTTTTCAGAGTGGAAGTAATTGAACCATGAAAGGGTTTTTGAAGCCACATAAAAATACATTACAGAGTACTGCCGTGAGGGGGATGCAAATATTTTGTTTTGCAGCAAGCGGAAAACACTTTTTTTTTTTCTTTTTTTTTTCCAAGATGTACGGTTAACTGCAGCTCTTTTGAAACAAACTTGTTACTTGAGCATAAAGAAAAGAGGATAAAAATGGTCACCACAGAGTCACAAATAAACAAGCTTGGAAACACAGGCTGCACATATGCTATAATAAACTCGTTCTCCTAATCATCCTGTAATGGACCAGTTTTTCAAGGGTGGGAGCACTTTATGCCACACAGGAAACTATTTTCAAACAACCTCCTGCTTTCTTTTTGAAACCTCTGGTCAGAGGGTTGAGCACACTTGACCCATGAACTTCAACACCCTCTTCATCCACTGTTTTGTGGGCTCAGCCTATGACTGAGCTAAGGCTTGTTTCTCTTGCAAATTCCTTTCTCAATATATCATCATTGCAGTGCTAGAGATTGAGAGAGAGAAGGAATTTCATTTAAGAAGTCCCTTCTATCAATTCTTTCATTATAATTTCAACTTTTCCTGCCTCTGGTCATTTAGTCGTTCCTCAGATGATGGCACAGACACAGTCTGTTCACTGACCATTTGATGCACATTACACAAATGACAAAAGTTGGCTTAAATTTCCAGTTCCAATCTGGTTGGTTCTATGCAACTTCTTGAAAGTAAAAGGACACAAATTTATTCAATTTATTGAATAAAGCAATTTTTTTATTTTTTATTATTTATGTATTTATTTTTTTAAATCTATTTTAGATTAAATGGCAATGTGAACTAAAGATGGTTGATTTATGTCAGTCAAATTGCCTCTTCCTTTGTAAGTGGCAGAAGATTCATGGCCAGAATAAGCTACAGTGAGCAGCAGTCAGTGGTCTGGTTATGCGAGTCTACTACTCACATGGCTTAATTTTTTTCAAGGGGTATCAAAGCAGTGGGGACAAAAGTAGGTCCAGACAGGTCACATGGTGCAAGACATGGGAACTTTAATTAGTCTCAAGTCTGTGGGTATATCTGTAGTATAAGTCACGCCTCAGTAGTCTCTCACAGCTGGGCTCAGAGGATTATGTCAGTCGGGATGTCTGTCTGAACTTTGAGGACTCCTGCATCTTGAATGTGTCTGTTTGGGGGCCACACAGCCTATTTGCTCCATAGGTGGGCAGCCTCATATTGGAGGGCTGAGAACTATCATCTGATCTCAAACTATCATTTAATGCTGCTATATAGCTGGTGCTGAATGTCTCTGTTTTGGCAGGAAAAGGTGAGATTTTTGGAGCTTAAAGGCTTTACTGAAGTGGACATGAGATTATGTCAAGAAATGGTCTGAATTAATTTGTCGTTGAACCATTTAAGTCTATATGAAATCAAAATGCAGCCTATTTGCTGCAATACACTTCCCATTTTATTGTGCACAATTCTTCAGTTCAGATTATCTCTAAAAAATGTTTGTCTTTTAACTTTCATCAAAACTACTTCTGCTTCTCAACTAGGCTGAATGAATAATGAATAATATGTGCCAACAAGCAAAAAAAAAAAAAAATAGAGATTTTGTTTGTTCCTATATGGAACTTTTGGAAAAATATGAAAAAAAAGGTCATTACAAACACATTGAGCTTCCATAATGTGCTATACATTATTGGTTAACATTGTTTTTGGTTAACAAGTTTTTTTTTTTGTTTTTTTTTCGTTTCTCTTTTCTTTTTTTCAGCAAGGATTCATTAAATTGATTAAAAGCGTCAAAATATTTTTTTATAATGTTAACTCATTTTTATTTTAAATAAAGGCTATTCTTTTGAACTTTCAATTCATAAAAGATTCATGAAAAAATGAGTCATGGTTTTCAAAGAAAATATTAAGCGGTACATATGTTTTCAACATTGATAAGAAAATGTTCTGAGCTGCAAATCAGCATATTAGAATGATTTCTGAAGAATCATGTGACACTGAAGACTGAAGTAATGGCTGCTTAAAATTTAAGGTGTATTAAACTAGATAACAGATATTTTTAAATTGTATTAAAGGGGTCATATGATGCTGCTAAAAAGAACATTATTTTGTGTATTTGGTGTAATAAAATGTGTTTATGCGGTTTAAAGTAAAAAAAAAAAACATTATTTTCCACATACTGTACATTATTGTTTCTCCTCTATGGCAATATTACTGTCTTTTTTTTTTAAACTAATTTTGATCAAATTGCACCTTGGTGAGTACAAGACTTTTTTTCAAAACCTTTGACCAGCAGTAGTGTATATTGATTTTTATGTTGTCTCTAAGGGTATGCATCTAAATCATCTAAAAATTTTTGCCAAAAAAAAAAATAATAATAATAAAATCATCTACTGTTGTTTGCTAAGTTATGTTTTAGAAAGGGTATGTACACGTACTCCCATCCCCTTATGTTTGTGCAGACCCCATGACAGACTTGACAGGCTCCAGTCAGCCGCAACGGGGCCTTTCAGTCATGATAAGGTTTGCCCCAAGGCATGGCAGAAGATTCCACGCTGTCAATCAACTTCGCACATCACTGTGTCTCATTCGTGTGGGAATCAGCCTCCACTTCAGATTTCGCACTTGTGTTCATCATCACTGCCACTCTCCAGCTGTTCATTGGGGGCTGGTTAACAGTATAACTGGGATCGCAGGTGTGCTGTGCTGCCTGGGAGAAAGGCATTTCAGGTCGAGTCTCTCCCAGGAATGTAGCCGGGAAGGAAACACTGTTTAGATTACATCGTCGTTAGAAAATGGAGGCCAGGCAGGGGAAAGCGGAGATGTTTTGCTTTGAGGGGTGAAGTCCTTAAACATAAACATACTACACTTGAACATTTTCCCTTCACTGTATGGTGGAGGTGGCAACTGAGGATATTGTTCTTGGTATAATGGGTGAAAACCATTCCAAGTGGTTCTAAATGGACAGGCTAGAGAGAGAGAGGAATGAACTGTGGTCAAAACTTGGGCGGCAGTCTTGGTGGTTTCAAAGGTCCCATCAGTTTAATGGGAAACATTCTAGAATATCAACATGAACACTTGAGCCTGTTGTAAATCATATCCTCCTGATTGGAAATTGCAATCATATTTCAGTGGCTGTCATACCTGCCCTCTGTGATATAATGGATCCAGATCTTGCTCCAGATCCTCCAAGGAAGTGGAACTATGTCAGACAGTGGTTGTTCACCACACTGAAAGAATGTATTTTATGTATTGTTGCCATGGTTTCCTCTTGCACCATATACTTCCAGGCGCTGGGGAATACATTAAGCCTAAATGAGCACATAGGATGTTTTTATGGTGAAATACAGAGTTCATATGAGAGCGGAGATGGAGTCTGGCATTATGAAACTATATTTTACTCCTCTCTTGAGGCAGGGTGGTTGTGTGAATGTGAAAATGTGAAATGTGTTTAACTTTAAATTCTGTCAGTCCTGATAAGTTTTACCATTTTTATTATCTCTCTCTCTCTCTCTCTCTATCTATCTATCTATCTATCTATCTCTATCTGCAGGTCTTGATGCTGAGTTGTACTATGTAAGGGATGATGTGATAAATCTTTATGCCCTTTCCTTCATCCTGCCTGTGCCCAGTGACACTAACAGCCTACATTTCACATGGCACTCCAGCAGCAAGGTTGGCACTGTTGATACATCCTATGTGCTCTACCATTCAAAAGTTTGGTGTCAGTCATTTTATTTATTTTTTTATTTTCTATTCATCAAAGAATCATAAAAAAACCATGGTTTCGCAAAACTATAATGCAGCACAACTGTTTTCAACTGTGATAATAATAATAAATGTTTCATAAATACCAAATCAGCATATTAGAAGGATTTTTGAAGGATCTTGACACACTGAAGATTGAAGTAATATATGCAAAAATTCAACTTTGCCATCACAAATTAATTACATTAAAAAAAAATTAAAATAGAAATAAATTTTTAAATTGTAATAATATTTCACTATATTATCTTTTTTGTCTTTTAATCACATACTTGTATCAATATCTATATCAATATCTTAATTATTTCCCGTAATCCTTGTCTCCTATTTAGGTGGATTACAGGTTAGGGTTTCAAGTGGAAAACACTTCAGCCATGGATCAACCTCAGAGCAACATCTCTGCTCAGGGGGAGGTCCCGCGCACTCGTTCAGGTGAGTGAATTCTTTTTCTCTCTTTTTTTTCCATTATATGTTGTATTTTCAAGGGAAAAGGTGCTGTTGATATCTAAAACAGTCTATATTTTCAAGAAAAAATTGTGACTCTACCTTTACATATGTTTAAAGGTCTTCTCATAAAAAAGGCCTGTTAACTATTGGAAAAATTGTGCTTGTCAACTAGGGATATGCCGGTATCACATTTTCATGTTGCGATTTAATTGCTAATGCTTTTATTACGGTATACGGTATTATCACGATATTGAAATTTAGTTTAAAAAAAGTGCTGTCATAATACAGTATAACAGGTTTAATAACTTTTTTCTTATAACAAAAATAACTGAACATTTAAATGCAATAAAGCAATACAGAAAAATTTATAAAGTTAAAAGTTTTACACAGCTTAAAGTGCAAAAGAACTATAAAGACCAATAGGTATCACTTTACAATAAGACCTCATTAGTTAACCTTAGTTAATGCATTAACATTCACAATGAACAATATCTACATTTGCTACAGAAGTTATTAATCTTTGTTTAAAAAATACAAGTCTTAGTTCATGTTAGCTCATTAAATAACACAGCTGCAACTCTAGATTTGAACATCCTGTTATTAAATATTGGAATACCTAAGAGTAATAAATGTTCAGAAGAATTTTTCATTGGCAGTTTAACTAATGAATTAACTAATGTTAACTAATGAAGCCCTAATGTAAAGTGTGACCGAACAATAAAGAATCAAAACACTTTCAAACAATATCTAGGGCACGTTGTAGTCCAGATTAAAATGTAAAAAAAAGTTTGAAAATAAATAGCCTATTAAGTCTAAATATTTAAGTATTTGGCGCTGTGATGAACATCATAGCAAATACACAAATCTGAATGGCTATTTAAATCATTTAAACATGATTCAGAAACAGGAAGTAGTGCAGCTGCTTTGTTTACAGGGTTTCCGGGGTAACGGCTGCATTTAAATGAATTATTATTATTATTATTATTATTTCTGCAGTTTAGCGCCATCTGCTGTCAGAGAGTGAAAGTGCGCTTTCATCCAGAGCGTCTCTTACATGTTCCGCCATGCGCTTCTCGTCCGTGCTTGTTTAGGTCAGAGTGCGCACGCATCTTTCATGCAGCATACGGCGGTGTTGTGCATTTTGACCAGTTTATGGGAAAAGTATTCTTAAAATGCATTTAAAATTCGGAATAATTTGTAATATATAATTATTCACGGTATTTAGAAGTGCCCATGATAACAATATCGTGCATATTCATTACCGTGATATATTGCATTACCGAATACCGGCACAAGTCTATTGTCAACTTAAGAACCCACAGCTTTTTTAAAGGTTTTATCTACTCTTAATTCCTGTATGACCTGTGCACACCAAGACAAATTCAATGCGCTAAGCATTTTAATTTGAGTGAACCGGCATTAACATTCACATGCTGTCAATGCAGCTGATTTTTTATTTTTTTTCATGGAGAGGTGTTAAAATCTCTTTTCCATTGCACTGCAAATAAAGCTGACCAACCTATACGATTCATGCTTTTGGTCACATGCCCAGAGCCGCTGCAGTTACATTAAACTATTGGTGACTTGGTGGTTGCAGTGAATAGCAGAGGAAGAATCCTGAACTGGCTCGTCTTGGTGTTGCCTAATAAACATGATAGTGAATCCAAAATCTAAATGGCTCTTTAAAAACATATCAATACTTTTTGCACCACCTACTGTCAGAGAGTTATTTTGCACTTGCATTCAAACTGTCTGACGTTTATTCGCATTGTCTGAACAATGCAAAAATCGGACCAAATCTTTGTGCTAAACATTTGTATTAGTGTTTAATTGGTCTTCTCATGTAGTTTAGTAGGATTTGGGCAAACGCTAATTCGCCAGCACAAAAGCAGCTCATACCCTTTTTAAAAAGTAAAAAATGAGGCCCTGCATTCATTGTTTACAACTATTATTAGTAATTTAATAGAGTAACTGAGTATTTAATATAGTAAGTATACTTTCTGTCTGTCACTCCAGTGTTCAGAGTGGATCTTTTCTGCTCTGGAAAGGCTGATGGAGAGGCTGTGCTTACGGTGCAGTTGAACCTGACTACACCAGCCAACAACTTCACAGTGCTCAACTTCAAACGCAGGAAAATGTGTTACCGAAGTAAGATATTTTCATACACTTTTACCTTATTTCCTCCAATACATCTGTTTCTTAAGATCTTCTTAGTGCATGTTTGTGTGTTTTGTTTTTTTTCACTTCACATTTTTTTCCTGCAAGTTTGCTGTAGGTTTTGTGTGTTTGGCAGATTGTGTGTCAGGTTTCACATTGTCAGAGACTGTAAATATGATAATAACACAAGCTTTCTGTCATATGCTTCCCTAGAGGAAATAGCCAGTGAATTTATTCTCTGCTTATTTGAAGCACATGAGCCAAATTAGCTGCTGGAGAAGAAAAAGACTTTGTGTATGCCCCAATTTCCTCTCCCTTGTGGAATAACTGGGTCAGCGTGTGTATGTGGTGCTCAAGAAGATATTTTGTGTCTTACACTTTCTATGGCAGGAGTGTGATTTTACTGCCCTGGCAACAATTTACAAACCAAACATAAATGAGACCACAATTAACCAGTTCATGTGTTTGGATGAATCTCATGAGACCCATCAAGATTGTCGTCATTTCAAAAGAAGAAGTTTTTTTTTTTTTGTTTTTTTTTTTAGAATTTGGGGTGAAATTTGAGCAAAATCTGTCATTTTCTAGTTCCTCTGATGGGCAACATTCAGTGATCTAAAACGGTGAACTGGCATAGGCATTAGACTTTGCTGATCCTTCCCCTTATTGTTTTACTTTACAGGAATTGAGCAGCCAGAGCCCCCCAAAACTCTGCCATTCCCAAACACAACCATACAGAGAATAGACCGTGAGTATTTGCGATTTTATTGTTTGGCCTTTTTAGTAAATGTGGTTCTACAATGAGACCATCTTCACTCTGCTCTTGTAAACTCTCTCCTCTCTTTTGATCTTAGCGAGCAGTTCAAATGCTCCCACCACATCCACACGAGTTTTCTACATCAGTGTGTGTGTGTGCTGCATCGTCATCTTTCTGGTAGCCATCATCCTTGCTGTGTTACACCTCCACAGCATGAAGAGAGTGGAAATGGATGACAGGTGTGTATGTGTATGCTTGCACTTCTGTGTTTGAATGTTCAGTTAGTTTAAATGCACCAAAACAGTCTAGTTCTCGTATATTTGATCATAATATCTTTTTTTCCCCTCATCCTATTTTTTCAGATTTTGTGTGGTTCTTTTTTTTTTTTTTTTTTTTTTTT